ATATATACTTTTTGTCAGGAGAAAATCATGAATTGGTTTTTCCCACCCAGGGTAAGGTGAGAGAGTTTCAGACTCTTACTGGCTAAAAACCCCCCGTTCCTTCATTGCGCTTGCCCCGCAACTTCGGCCTTGACCCGCAACTTTGGCATACTATGCATGCTTCAATTTTACTTTTACAATGTATACCTTCAGAAAACCCTTTATGAGAACACCCCGGCCTATTACCTGACCTGTTCCCACAAACGCACCTTTCTCACTATCTTTCCAATTTGCCCAATAACCAGGCGACATTATGAAATACTCAAGCACCCCGTTACAAGTCCCATTAAGAACATAATGGCGTGTCTGCAACCGATCCAATGGTTTCATATTCCACACTTTGATATTACCTAGTAAACTTAAGAAGTTTTGCTTGTCTGTTTGTTTGTTGCTTTGCTGTCCATGGTAGGTAGGTTTTTTTTATTGAATAGGTCGGCAAACGAGCAGACGGATTACCTGATGGTAAGTAATCAGTGCCGCCCATGGACACCTGTTACGGAGGAGTAACGAGTGCTTTGCCGACATTTTAGGGATTATGGTTTTTGAGATTTAGGGATTGGGAGGGATCGGGGGAGGGGAAGGATTGGGTCTCCGGTAACCTCACTCACACGGCGAAACACAACGCTGTGGTTGTTTCACGTCGGTATTCTGTGAGGCCGTGGTATCACTCTGGTCGAGCCGACCCATTCGTGCCGAAGCTTCTCTCTTCCACACTTAAAGGTGTGGGAGAGCCAAGCCCAATATATCCGTTTTTAATTCGCTGTTTATTTAAAATTGTAAGAGACATGTAGAATCAGCTTTGTTGCTATTTGTTGTAGTATCTAAATTTCGTAGAATATGTGCATTTAAAAGAATAATGAAGGGCTTTTTTTAAATATCATGTTTAAGGCAATTTGCTCCTTCAACAATCTAGAAGTATTAATTAAAGAAATCAATTAAGTTAGAGACCACAGTACTTATCTTATTTATAATCTAACTATATTTATTTTTTCATCATCAGTTTGTCAAATTTAATAGAGCTGCTCGACTAGAGTTAGACTACGGCCTCAAAGAACATCTGCGTGAAACCATGTTGCATTGTGTTTCGTCGTTTGAACGAGGTTCTCACTCGCGGCCGAAAGTCCATTCCTTCCCCTGCCCCAAATTTTAAATCCTGTAACCACTAGACAATCGGCAAAACCTCATCACTCCATGGTGGACAAACCACCCTCACGCACGAAGCGGTTCGCCACTAGTTTTATTATCAGAACCACTAAGAATTGGAATTCTTTGCCGTGGAGTATAACCCGAGAATCTTCAGAGCTCGAGTGAATAGTGAGGTAAGCGTGTTCCATCGTAGGTCACATCACTGCTTTCCACCAGACAGGATAGAAGCCAAATGCCTGTCCATGCCCAAATTAAACACAACGACAAGGCGGTTATTTGGTGGGTATCTGTAGGTGACTCCAATTGCTCAACATCAGGTGATCTGTGTGATGGGTTGATGGATCACATTCTCCGCTAGAACTAGTCAGTAGTCATTGTTGACCGACACGATATTTAATGTGTTTAACCGAACTTACACACAGACAAAGTCGCGGGCCAAAACTGTGTACTATAGTACCTACATTATCATAAGCAGATAATAATATATGTATGTTAACATACCTAATGTGTTACCTTTGCCGCAATCAATGCCGTTTACCACATCATCACATCCATTAGATGTCGTTGGAATTGAACAGAATGTTTAATATTACGACTCTTTTACGTAAGAATGGCACATGACACAGAAATCATTAATGTAGCTTGGAGGTTTCATAGTCAAATGGCAAAACATGGAACCCTTAATGATTCTTCAGGGCCGTCCTTAGCTCGGCCTAGAGCAGAAGAAGGACTGAGGTGATTTTAGACTCGTTCTTGCCCTGGGAGAGAGAAGTCATTTGATGAAGGCCGCGTCCTTATGACAAACTCACTTTTCTCAAGCTATAAGAACTGATTATGTTAAAACATGGTAAGAAAACATATTCGTATTCTTTGAGCTGCATCACGGTTATCCGACACAAAAAAATAAAGAAACATACCTACCACTTATATACTTAATTGGCCTAATAAATAACACGCATGGCCTAATAAATAAAGTAGGGTCTCTACTTTATTTATTAGGCCATGCGTGTGGTATCAATGGGGAGGTCTTGAAAACTCATATTGAGGTTTCCAATGGCTTACATTATCAATGGTAATATAAGCCTTATATAACCAATGGTAATAAGGCTTATATTTCCAATGGTAATATAAGCCATTGGAAATAAACAAATTTGTTTTCACGGAATAACCGTAAAAAGTGTGTGTCTCCAACTGAAATAAATATGTGATGTATGTACATTACCATGAAAACTTCTCAAGAAAATCGGTGATTGAAAAGTAATTAGTACCAACGGGGAGATGTATTGGGAAATCTTCATTGTAGTATTTTGATTGGATGAAAAGTAAACCAATATATTATTTTTAATATTGTGTAGTTTATATTTCTCTAAGAACGTTTTTTAAATTACAAAATAAAAAAAAAACATTTCACAAAATAAATAATATAATTAAGAATCACATTTCTATTTAACAAATGCAATTACATCTCAACCAACATTAAATAACAATTTAAAAGAATCTGAAATACAATATTTACAAATAAAACAATATTTTCTTAATTAAATCAAGACAAAGTAATTATATGTACAAATGCGACTTTTTGGTCATTAAAACGTCTTCTACAATGGCACAACTACATATTAAAAATGGAAAATATATTAATATTAACACATTTTTGTCATATATTACGTATACAATACAGACTTCTACAGTTTTATAATAAAAAATCTAAAAAAAGAAATATTTCTATAAAAGTTATAGGAACTAAGTTTTATAAACTATTTTAATTATTTATAAATATTTAAATAAAAAAATACTTATATTTATACATTTGAGCAACAAAACAGGTGACCATTTACATAATACATTAAAATAAATAAAAGTATTTAATTTAATCCTTCACATTTATGCTTTAAATAGAAACATAGTGTTTTTTCTATTCCCTTTTACCTACATATTGTATTTACACCATTATAATTAAAAAAAAACAAACAACATAAATATTTTTTACATAATTTGAATAATATATGGTACCTATAAATTTCTCACACATGAGAGCGCGTGTTCGAAACAAGGCAAGAACCCATGTGAGTTTTTCTGAATTATATGTACTTTTTAAGTTAGCAGTCGTGGTCATTAATGGTCAAACCTTCTGTATTTGAGAAGAGGTCTCTTCTCGGCAGTGGGCACATTTTATAGGCTGATGATGATGATCAAACGTATCTATGAAAGTTTCGCAGTTTGTTGCTTATCCCACACATTTTTAGAATGATCATTCTATCGTACTATCTAGAACCATCATTCATAGGCTTAATTTGTAATATTTATTGAGTAATTCGTTTTTTGTTTTCTTTTTGTTCCCCTAATCGCGGCAAGCGCATTTCTATTCACAAAAAAAACAATATCAAAATTTTTTTTACTAACGCAAACAATAGCAAACCCCAAAAAACTCTTTGTTAGAAAAATTGAGAACAAAATTCATCGATGAAGCTACCAACTAGTTAGCAATAAAGTTCACAAAGATCGATTTGTATTCGAAAGGCCGCAAACCGTAGACAGGTTTACAAATAATGTTATTCATCAAACGAGATTACAGTTAAAACGAATTGTCTCTCAATTCGCGTAGCCCAAAGTACAGATACTCGAGATTTTAATCTAAGATTTGTTTCTACCAAGATGAATTGTGTGGGTACCTAAAATGAATAAGGTTGCTATGTTTTCTTAATGCCTAAATACATTTTGACTATCAAAGTATTTTTATTTCATTTTATTAAGTTACTAGCTTTTAGTTACCGAAATCGGTTCAGTAGTTTAGGTGTGAAGAAAAGACAGACTGACAGACAAACAGAGTTACATTCGCATTTATAACATAAGTTTAGATAGTTGGATTTGATAGCAACTTATAGAAGAATCAACGAATTTATATCTAAAATTAAATATATCGTCAAATCTGTTAATGAAGTATGATTATTTTACATTATTAAATTGCATTGAAATCTTCAAGAAATTTATTTTTGACCGAGGAAAACACTCAGTTGTTTACGATCAGGTAATCAATCTGCTCGTTTGATATCTTATCAAAAATATATAAAATCGACAGTCATTTCATTTCCATAATCCACTCATAGCAATATAAATAGAAGGTCCATTTAATTATTCAATATATCATAAAAAATGACAATATTGCTGTCCTTTTCTACACAGTTATGGGAAATGTATTCCCAAGCGTCACCCCTTGGCTTCACGACACGACCCTCTGTCAAACAATGTAAAAACAATTTGATCGCTCGATCGTCTTATTGCTTATCTAATTCAATACGTGAGATGATCATACTCTAAGGAAATTGTTTGTGAAGGTAGAAAACGTTTGCTATATTAAGCTACTGCTATTTGTTATCAAACAACTTATCTATAAACGAAGGACAAATGGAAAAATGTGTTGCATTCCTTATAAAAGAATATTCTCACCCTCGATCTTGATGATAATGCCCTATAATCAATACCTATACATATCAGCTTTAGCAATTACTTAGATTAAAATAAATTACAATCACAAAAAGTCCCTATGTTACAATACAGTATTAAATATTCACAACTAAACTAGTTCACCCTCATTTAAGAGCGCGCGTTAACGCGCGACATTCGTTTCAACATACATTGCTTATAATGTTCATAGTTTTGCGTTAACGCTGGCGATTATGTGGTCTCCAGCTGCAATGTACGACAAATGGAAAACGCGCGATGCCCTTCCGTAAATGGGGCCTTAGAAACAAAACTATTGTGTTAAAGTAAGTACATGAACTACTCAATTCACTAATACCTTTCAAAACCAATGCTCAAGTGTCACAAGGCAACTGTGTGTATCTCAAACACATTCCAATGTTTTCCTCTGGACTCCTCTTGACTGTGGGTGGTCCAAAATGCACAGATACCGCGAAAGGAGTTATAGCGGTCTCCACGTGACAGTTAGGCCGCTGCTGTCCCGGACAGAAGGTGTTGCCGCAATGATGAGGGTCGCATACGCCTGCACCGAAGTACGAGCTCTAGAAAATAAGAAATGGGTACTTTTGAAGATAATGCTGCAGAAATAGGTACTTTTGATGCTATGTTTACGAATCACAATAAACTTAATCATAACCATTGGGAAACAGATAACACTTGCTAGTTAGTACATTTTAATTTTATTGCTAGGTACTTCTGGTGATGAAAAATCATAAACAGATAACTTTGCCACCATCAATAGAATATCACAACGTAAAACGGTTTGGTAGTTGCCGACTAGACATTACATCATCTGGTCAAAGGATCCTCTTTTCCGATCTTAGGGAACTTCGCCCTAGTCATATTCCCTTAATGATAAACTTCCTTTTGGTTTCTTAATATACAAAATGATAGTCATTGTAAATACTATTCAGACACGAACCTTTCAAATACTAGCACAAAAATATACATAAAGTAGATAATAAATTATTCGAACAATAACAAAAAAACATATGAAAGACAATCACGAACTTATAACAAGTAATTGAAACAGAAACAAACAAGATATCCTGGGAACCGTTTAAAACTGTACTAATTAACATAAGAAGAAAATGTTAAACAACCTTCCTATTAAAATAACGAGGTATTGATGCTTCAGAGGTAGCTATCAAATTCATCAATCAATTAATTTCTTGCTTGTAAATAGAGAACAAGTTTTGTTAAGTTTAAATTGATTATTTATCTTGATTATTATATCTAAGGTCTATAGCTGCAAATATGTTACTAGTGAAGCCAAAAATTTGTTAAGTGTGGGAGAGCTAAGCTTCGGCACGAAACAGTCGCCTCAACCAATTGATACCACGGTTTTTCAGAAACCAGCGTGGAACAACCACAGCGTTGTATTTCACCGTGTGAGTGAGGTTACCCCAGGTCCAATCCTTACACTTCCCCATCCTTCCCAAATCGCTAAATCACCAAAAACTCTAACTTCTCGTAGTGTCCATGGGTGGCGCCGATTGCTTACCATCAGATAATTTGCCAGCTCGTTTTCAAACCTGTTTTGTTTCCCACAAATGATCTAATTTGAACCCTAAGATTTTTGCCAAGCGTAAGGGTAAACCACTTTTTAGGTTAGGCCTTGGTTGCCACTGGACACTTTGAGGCTGATGACGATGATGGTTTACGTGGATTTAATGAGTTACGGCATACATTTAAGCCAAACTACATTTTACAACATTTTACAATACAAAAGAACGCACGATTGACTGCATGCAGTGGCTAGGCAACTGGCTGCCGTGCTACGTGTAGCCCACGACACAGGAGAAAATCCCAGAGTTAAAAAAAGGGAAATGATGTTTTGACTATAAATTTCATCATTACCATCATCTTCTACCGAAGTCTTAAAAGCTGCATTGTACGATTCGTTTTAATTTCATTACACTAACAGAATTTTAATTCACGTTTATAATGAATTGAAACCCAAAGCGTCCCTTACTATTCAGAAAGTTGGCGAGGAACACTCGAGCTCTTTCTACTCAGCGTTATCCAAGTCCCGCCCAACACTCTATAAACCGGGTCATTCTTAAGGGAACTTTAACAATATTACTTTCGTTCCTGATTATTAACTCCACAAGTACCCCTTCAAAGTTTCTCTTTTATATTCCAGTCTTTTAATGGAAATCCTAAGCTTTAATACTATTATAATTAGAATCTTCAAGTACCAAGTTCTTTGTACTTTGTAAGTTTTTAAAGATATTGAAAATGATATTTTTAAATAAGTTTTAAATATTCAGGGTTTGAAAGACCGGGAACTTTAAATTTCGGAATAATTTAATTACAAAACAGTCTAAGTTTCATAGTAAGCAGTAAAACACACACAGTAGTGACAATTTTAAATAATTTTAAGCTTGTAACGTAATGTATTGAATGAATAATGTTTTGATCCGTCCCACGTAAACGCTTTTAACAGAAATTTGGTAGTTTACTTTATAAATAACCCAGATATATAAGATATATATTTATAAGATCCCTGCTTCGCACGAGTACAATGCTAATACTAAATGTCTCCACTTTTTAATGCATGCAAGCCTCTTCAATAACTCTATTTATAAAAAAACCGCATCAAAAGCCGTTGTTTAGTTTTAAAGATTTAAACTTATGTATGCAGGGATATAGTGACAGAAAAAGCGACTTTGTTTTATACTATGTAAGTGACATATTACAAATACTCACCGATACAAAATATTCATTTTCACATGGAATGGTGATTCTGTCGTCACACCGCTGTCTGCCATGGCCGGTCAGCCCGATCCCATAGTTTCCATAGCCGAAGTACCGGAACCTGTCGTCTTCGTTCCCATAGTGCTGCGTGTATGGTGACCACCGCGACCAGCTGGATGACCTCGCCTGACCCCACATCCAAGACGAAATATACGTCCAGATCTAGATGTGGTTAGTTGAGGGGTTAAGCTAGCTACAGGGAACTGGGGTCTATATATTTGTTGTAGATTATGTATATGTAAGTGTGATGGAGAAGGTCGATTGAAACTTTTTTTGAATAATTGGCTTCTTTAAAGGTTTGCGAAATGAAACTTAAGTATTTATACCCAATAATGACAAAGCGCTAACAAGACACCTAGGATAGCACCATAACCATGTAAACCACGTTACAAATGTAAGGCTGATCTTGATGATATAAGAAAAAAAACTGAATATATATTGTTTATATTTGACCTGTAATTTTATGAACTTTGTATTACAAATAGCCACATATTATAAATCAATTCAGTTTTAGTTAAGGCATGGCAGTACAACTAACATATCTCAGATAAAAAATAGATCAATGAACGAATGAACTTTTAAACGATCGGAAAATAAAAACGATTCTTAGAATAGAAAAAAAAGTAAAGACTACGTTTAGAACTGTTCTATACAACGCGACTTCAATCACAAATATTATTATGGAAATTTCAATAAAACACGAAACGAAATATCTATCTACATTAAAAGGAAAATGTTCATATGCGATCGGCTCAGTGGAGTACGTGCTGACGTTATGTACTCGCACGCTTCATTGATTACATAAAGAGGAACGTTCGACTGAAATACAGGACTTCGATGGAAGTGTGGTTCGAAACACATTTTTGCAAACCCTTTAAAAGGCTGGCTCCTAGCTTTCATCTATATTTCGATCTTCAAATACGATGCTGAACTAAACTTTTCTATGATACGATTAAAGAATTGAACGCTTGACTTAGCCAACATTAAATTGTTTCTTTGATTTAATGTTAAAATATGTTTAAAAATAATCATACGATATACCTAACATACTATCATAAGGTACATACAAATATTATATCGTATAATTATTTGGGATTATTTTCAAAAAATAAGTTGGTATGTTGATTAACTGTCACAACACACATACAATAATTCTTAATACTCGAAAACCGTCGAAAAATATTGAATTTGGCAAATTGATTCGTATCCACTTGTAATAGATGATATTCTTCATTGTATGGTAATGTAGAGATAATTTAAATTAGGTACAAAAGTCACAAAAGAACTTCTCCATTAAAATAAAGTAATAAAATATGGGATTTGCTGTAAATAAATATAGATATTTTTTCATTATTATAAATGAGTCAAATACGGTTAAAATTATTTATTAAAGGAGACCATTTCATCCATATTAAGTATATCAAGCAAAAAAACTTTAATGATGTGAGTAAATACATATAGTATATTTTCTTTTTTTATAAAGGCTGTTACTGTAGGAGTTTGTTATGATATTTCAGTATCACTGTGTTACTTGGTATTCAATGCTTTGGGCAATTCATATAATGTATTTTAGCTGATTGATGATTAGTTGCACATGAATATCGCGGAATAAATGAGAACGCATTTTTAATGAATTGTTCTCTATCAAAACATGGATTGAATTTGGATGTCATATTCATGACAGTATATTAATAAGGAATATTGCCATTTCAAAACTTGCACAGATATATACAATTTTCCCCTAGTAATATTGTTTCTTGTATTTGAAGGGCGTTTACTAACATTTGACACAAGAAACTTACAACAGAAAATAACTATCCGTACATTTTTTTGTCTTTAGGAGTCGAACCATTGACAAATAGCACAACAGTGAATTCTACTTTTCTTTTCAAACTGCACTCCAAATAACCTTAATATTTCCACATCCAAGTACTTTAAAAAATCTTATAAAAGTAAGAATCCATACCACCGTCAACCATAAGATGCTTCAGCATAACTTAAAACGGACTTCGTCTTGAATCTTTTCCTTTGACGTGGTCCAAAAAATGGTGGTTACAGCGAAAATGCTTCGTATAAAGTTAAAAGGAAGTTTGAGCGAGCTATTTCACTATGCACATGTTAGAGACTTGGCAAATGATAAAGTTATCTGCAATGCAGTTTAGAAACAATTTATAGCCCCATTGGGACCATATAGATGTGAACTTTGTTTGCACCTTTAGAGTTTTATGAAGTTTCCTTAAATTGTGCTAGATTATTTTAAATTGCACCTAGTTTTGGTTGTTTTTCCTTAACTTCAGTAAGTGATTTTTATTGCCTTACCCTTGATATGAGACTAGGCTCCTCTCGCATTGGTGCTTCCATTTGCGGATCGTTTCCAGAACCTTCCATTTCGTCTTCTTGTGTTTGCATGTCATCAGCTGGCATCATTTCTTCTTGCTGCATTTCTATGAGGACAACAATAAGCATAAAAAAAGCTTTATTGATGAAGTGGTATGTTTTGACATCCAATTATTCTTCAGTTCCACTACCGATGAGATCAGTCACAATATTTTTTATCACACATCATCTGTTGTCTATGAAGTGAGAAAAATAACAAAACGTCTACAATCATAGCTCATAACAGTTGAAACACCGCGGCTTTAAACTTGGTAACGAATGGGCTTTGTTTAAAAGTTAACTGGAATATGAATGGCAGTGTGATAAACATGAATAATAATGTTGGACAGAATACCTTCTGTTTTTACGATTTGCATGGCAAAGGGTTCGTCGGATGCCTAAAGGTCGCAGAGGTCAGAGCGGTCAAAGAGCTTAAATTTAAAAACTCCGTTTATTATATTATCCGTGTTTTTACATTTTCCGCATTTGTGACGATGTTCGTGATGTGGTCCGGGGAAAAGGGTTTGATTATATATCTCATAGCTTCACGCTTGTTAATACTCGATGAGAAAGGAAACGCAGTAGGTATTGGTTTAATTATTAGTTTTGTCGCGTAAATTTTGTTTAGTTCCGTTTTAGTTAGTGAGAGAAATTGTAGCCGTCAATTACTAATACTCGTACAAGCTTTAAGTAGATTAGTGCTTAAAAAAGACTATTCGTTGCCATTAGCATAGCAACATAACTGCTAGGTTCAGGTCCATTCATACCAAACAATGTGGAAGTTATCAGGAAAGGCTATGATTAATATGAACGTTTTGTAGCTGACATCATGATAATGATGATGATGATACATATGATAAACATACATCGAATTTTTACGACTTTGTTCTTTTAGCCCTCGCAAATGCATTTCGTCTCGATCAATAAGAATGATCAGTCCAGTTGATGGTACAGTTCTTAACATACTTCTGTCTCTTAAGACTCTATAAACATACCTGCAGGGTCCATTACGAGAGGAGTTCCATTTCCAGGTCCTATCCTGAAGGAGCGACTATCACATGGAGTGTATCGTATGGAACAGAACCCCGAATTTCTTCTGATGCATGCCTTGTAGTCCTGACTAGCCAAGTGACGCCCGTTTGACGCGTAGTTGAAAGTCTTTATTGTACCTTTTAAAAGGGAAACGTTTATTTTAAATAATCCGTAAAAAAACATATTTTATGGAGATAATTATGTAATAACTAGCCCAACCATATGTGGGGGAAATGAAGTGTCAGATCTCTTATTCAGCAAAAACTGCTCCTTTTCTTCCCCTACTCCGAGCTGGATTATGATACATCATACCGCTTACATCCACAACCTAAGCTGGATATTGTTTTGCATCTGAAAATGTCTTTACCTACATTTTGATTTGTAACAAATGGAACACAATGTATGTATACTCACAATAATCGATCATGATTTTTAGTTTTAATAGTAGTTTATAATTGTATTATGCTGTGATATTTGAATCACCGAGTTTTTGGCACACACCCAGTTTCAACCGAATTTCCCCTATACTCTTTGAACTAATTCCTTATTTCAAACTTAGTGAGAATATGGTAGTTTCCAACTAGACAAATTCAATACTTTTATCCAAACGTCAAAAACGATACTTTTCTATGAAATTTGTATGAAAAACTGAGCTATGACGTTATAAAATTTTTGCGTCAAATAGCTTACTTATTTCAAAATAATTAGCTTAAAAAAATCTAAAACTTGGTGTATCGATCGATCGATGAATAAAAGTATAGTTATTTTTCAATATTTTATAGTATTGAAACATCGAATTATTTTATTTTTGACCTAGGAAACTACCCAATTTTGACGTCTTTTAAAAGTATTTAAAATAAGTCTTATATCACAATCAACATTTATTATGAGATAGAAGACTTTCATTATCCAAAATTGTCTTTTAATATCATGATTGCCTCCTTTGAATAGTTATCATTATTCCTTAAAAAGACTACTGTAGTCAAAATCACTATAATTACCATTATCACTTGTATAATACTGGAAACAATTATGTGGTGCGGTATTCGCTAGCGGCATCTGCGCAAGTCTCATCAGCCAGATGCGTGGCATGTCACCAGCTCGCATCCTCATCGATAAGTTGATGGTCTTCGAGCCAGGCAGGTCGCTGTCTTCTCGCTTTTCACTACCCGCTGATAGCGTGTAGTATACTGGAATTTATGTTAGGCGAATGAGTATGCAGTATTGGCAAATAGAAGGATTTAAGTGTCGGAGAGCCATGCTTCGGCACGTTTGGATCGGCTCGACCGGAGTGATACCACGGCCTCACAGATTACCGGTGTGAAAGAACAGCAGCGTTGTGTTTTCGTGTGAGTGAGGTTACTGAAGCCCCTCCCAATCCCAACTCTTAAATATCCTAAACCCTTATCCCTAAAAGGTCGGCAATGCGCTCGTTCTGTTGTTGCGGGTGTTCATGGGCGGCGCTGATTGCATTAAAACCTTCTGCTTATTTGTGGACATAACACAAAAAAAAACTTTATTATTTTCTTTACATGGAATTGTTCGGGAAACGAAGACACGAATGACCTGATTTCTGAGCATTAGGAGCTGCCAACGCATTTTCGGTCTTTCTGGATAAGGATAAGATTGCTTCATTTACATGATAAACACCAATGAAAGCGTTCATACACTCTAGTTTTTTTGTAAAAAGCGTAAATGTCATCCAAATAAATGCTAGGAAACTGAAACTAACCGTGTTGCCCGTGATTCTGTCCACATAATGTGAACTTGCTGTCTCCATCTCCTAAGATCATGGCATCCTCGTCACAATCGCCTGTAGTTCTGTTGGGCTGCCCCTGGAATCCAAAGAAATCCATATAAAGGTCATAGTTAATAAACATCTTTGTACAATACGATCTTTTTCAATGAAAAAATAATTCTCTGTTAACCATGAGTGTGGGAGAGCCAAGCTTCGGCACAAATGGGTCGGCTCGACCGGAGTGATACCACGGCCTCACAGAATACCGGCGTAAAACAACCCACAGCCTTATGTTTCGTGTGAGTGAGGTTACCGGAGGCCCAATCCCTCCCCTTCCCCTATCCCTTCCCAATCCTTATATCCGCACTCGTAACTCCTTTGGTGTTGCGGGTGTCCATGGGCGGCGCCGATTGCTTACCATCAGGTAATGCGTCTGCACGTTTGCCGACTTATCCCATAAAAAAACCATATAATTTATGGATTACAGTTAGTAAACCATAGAAACTTCTAATGAAAATTGTGATTTACTGACAATAGTGAAATGAAGAAAGTCGATCCTGAGCTGCATGATGCCTGCGTGTGTCTTCTCAATGGTAATGTTGCAGTCTTCTTCACCGCCCCACAGCTCGGGGAAACCGGGCGACATGAAGTAAGTCAGGTTATTCTGCACCGCGCCACCACAGGATACCTCAACTGTAACAAGCATTTTATTAATTAACATCGACTTTTCTCATTATGTTAAATTACTTTTTAACTTCTCGAAAATCAAGGTCGGTGTCCCATTTGGATATCAAATTTTGAAGCTTTGAGTTGAACAACAAAATTTATTTATTTATACAAAGAAATGTACAGGTGGACTTAATGTCTTAGGCATTGTCTAACAGTCGACCTTCAGGTGGTGGAGAAATTTAGAACTGTACATACATACTCAGAATTTGGGAATAAGCTTTGTCTTATTATATGCAACATTATAAATATTCGTAAATAGAATGTATTTTTGAATTACAGCTCATTTAAGCCAGGATCTAGGACCAGACGCAATAGATACAACTATAAAAATACCGAAACACTGAAGTCTAGTGCATCCCAGGGACAAGAATGACTGTCAGAGTAGGTATATCCACTAGATTATCTGCTAATACACTAAAACTCCCCAGGTTTATCTATCTCCCAGTTTAAGTTTCTATATAAATATTGTAAATACTACCCAGTAGATACAGTTTAATGAGAGTCCGCGAAACATCTAAAAATTTTTAAAGTCCAGCTTAAAACATGGACGAAACTACTAAGTCGGCTAATGAGAACGGGACCCGTTCCTTTAAGAAAAACTTTTTATTACAGCGTTGAACAAAAATAAATCTTTAAGGAGTTTCATTTTATTTTTATGTTAATTAAATTCGTAGCTATAATTTTCACTTCTCAAAACTAAGGAATATGTAAAATATTTCTTAGTTTCAGTTACATTAAAGTTATCATCGAATGTATTTAGCACTTACAACTAAGAAACAGCGCAGTGGACGGGCAACGAGCGAAAAAAGCAACATTCTTTTTTCAATATGTAACGCCAATCATCGGGGAAATGGGCCGGCCTATTCCATATTGTGTTTCGCCATGTAAGTGAGGTTAATAGAGGTCTAATCCTCCTTCCCCAATCCCCAAATCCCAATCCTAAATCCCTAATCAGGTTTCTTATCAGGTGACTCGAGAGCTCATTTGTCCGCAATCACAAACATTAATAGATTTGACACTATCAAAGAGTAAATTAGTCAAAAATAGTTTGGATTCTCTATCTAGCACTATTGTTTAGTTTAGAACAGAGTTCACGATTCGTCCGAGATGTCAAAACATCAAAAGAATTGAAACGTTAAATATTCCGTCCTGCATGCGTATTAGGCATTCTTCTTACTTCGTGCGAAGTGCGTAACCTCTTTGGAATTCCCATCATGCCTACGAAGGGACGCACACGTAATCGAATCTCACTGTTTTTTCATAATAAAATGGCACCCATCATGTCATTATGCCTGTTGTATTTATTTCGCCTTTGTAGAACACGTACATTTTCATTGAATTAAAATATATTAGGTACTTTCTATGTCGTACAAATTGGGTTGTTGTTCACATTACTGTAACTAAATATTAATGAGTTTGTTAATAGGATTGTGTTTTATAGTGTAGTTTAGTTAGCGTCATTATTCAGATTTTGTAGCTCTCGGTAATGATTTTCATAGTAGGTGTGGAAGAATCTAAATTATAAAGCGGTGTTTATACATATTTTTGAAGCAAGTTTGTCGCAATCGCAATGCATTCAAACTAGAATAAGAATAAATAATAATTAGTACAGATACAATAAAACAATTGGCAATCGTATATTTAATCGTAAATTAGAACACTTTCTAAAATTTAAACAATATATAAATTAAAAGCAAAGAAAATAATCACTATTAATAGAAATTTCCACATTTTTAAGTAATTAGTAGATCGGCTAGAAGACTGGTCGCCTAATTGTACGCAAATGGTACCACCTATTGACACCCACAACACCAGAAAGCTTACAAGTTCGTTACTCCTGTTTTTCGATCTTCCGTTAATAAGGATAGTGGTAGGGGACTGTTTCTACAAAACAACTTTTCAAAGCAGACACTGAAACGTGGTCAAGACTTTTTTTACTAATTATTTTTTTAATGTCTTGGGTGAGTCGAGAACGATTGTCAGAGTAACTGACTAAAAAACTATCTTATGTCGTGGGTGCGCTTACAAAGGTACAATTTTACATAGACATCAAACTCAACTCAGACTTGGAACAACTTCGTGATGGATTAAAACCCGCGACATGTTGCACAACAACCGATTTCCTAGCCTCCACGTCAAGAGTGCAGTTCACACTCAATGTTTATTTATATTTTAACAATTGTTAAATGAGAACCATCAATATCTAGAAACTTAATTCTATAATATGATTGCTATAAATCAAATTGTTTGATACATGTATCTTTTTAACTGCCAACATTAATGAGAAATGAGTAGTCACGGTAAAATCCGCAGGCTTTTTTTGCGTATTATTTTGAACATGTAGATAAACATGTTTAGCAATTAATCATAATAATTCTGAATACGGCTTAACTTGTAGCACAGATTACTGAATAGTTACTTCGTCTTGTAGTAGGTAATCCTTTCTATTCAACACGTGTTTCAACTAAAATTGTGACTACCTACTTTACGATTTTCTACTTGAACATAAAACTTATGTACAAACTATTATTATAAATGCGAAAGTCTCTCTGTCTGTCTGTCTTTTCTTCACTCCTAAACTACTCACCCGATTTGCGTGAAATTTGGTACAGACATAGTTTGGTTTTGTTTTTGGTGTTGTTTTTTATCCCGAAAACCACGCCAGTGCGCGACGGTGTGGGCATAACCAAAAATTTACAGGATGTCACTATTCAACGAAGTCGCGGGCAAAAGCTAATTTATCATAGTTTTTTGGAAAAATTGGCGAAACTACAACATGAGCAAAATTCTCATGTAAGTATAATTTTGCATGTCACAAAAACCTATTTTTTGTAGACTTAGTTTTTTTAACTGTGTAGTGTTTATATTAGCATAATTTATACATCACGCTTGTTGCTTCTAAATTCAACGAAAGCGGTTTACTTATAATTACAAGTATTTATCATGGGATTATTTTATGTTAATTTGGGGGGATCATTATATCTTCACGCTCTTGTTGTTTTTGTGTGGCAGTGGCAAACAAGACTTGAATGAAATTGCAGATCACTACCGTAGATTATGGTTTTTTTTACTTGCTATAAACTAGTGCTTGACTGCGATCCCACCTGATGGTAAGCAGTGATGCAATCGTTGATGGTAAGGCGCACTAGTTTATTAAGAGCCAATTCGGTTTTTTGTTTATTGTAGTGTATTGGGTACATAAGCAGACTTAACGCCTTAGACTGTTCTACCAGTCGAGCCTTGGGTGATGCAGAGATGGGCCAATGGTTGGTGCAACGAGCACCTTAATTTTATACAATACGGACAAGTATATGTGCGTTATTATTAATATATAAATGATGATATATATACAAACATATTCAAATAATATAATAATATATAACTTTAATTTTTAAAAGATATTTTTGTTTTTTGACGCGCTATAGGACCTACACCTACCATCTATCGCTGGCTAAATCTATAAGCAGTCTTAAAATATTACCTACCTATTTATTTAAGATTAACGTTTTTATCAGCTGCTTAAATTACATACCTACATCAACGCAGAGAAAGTAGATTACTTAGAACAAGTAAACTGGTATAAAATTGCAACTAGTTTTCGACAATGTCCATCTGTCTGTACGTAGGTAGGTACGTGTTACACATTTAGTAAATCCGTTACTTGACCGGTCCTTGATATACATTTTTAATGTTAAAAATCTACTTCAAAATGGCTGCCTGTGTCACAGCTTAATGTTAGAATGACATGGAATCAGCCGAAAGCATTATTCTGTGTTTCACACTCAAATAAATTGTCGAATTCTCACTTTGTATAGAATAGTCTGATACTGTCTTACATTCCTACATTTTTTTATTGATGTTTTAGAGGTATGAGGAACAGGGTGGAAAGTTCCTCATCCTCCATTGAAAAGGGAGGATCCTCCGACCAGGCGAGGTGTTCGTGCCTGGTGGGCTACTGCCCGACGGTTGTTGTCGGGATATCTGTATGGGTGCTAATTGTGTTGAAAACTCTTATAGCGCGATGTAGACTCTTGCTCGTGATTGGTGCTGTTGTTTATGTAGTGCGCTAGATGTCGCTACATCACTCCCCTCGGAGGTCGTTAGCTGGTTGAGACGTCTGTGATATGCTTGTCGAGCCAGTTGATGATTTCAGTGCGTCGAATCTGTCTGCGAAGATGCCCCAGTGAGTCGGGTGGTGCAGTGCTGAAGAGTGGCTAGCTGCTGCGTCGACCAGGAGAGGGAGTACGTCTCTGCTTGCTGACCGGCCGGTGCAGTATGCTGTGCCGGAATTTCTGATGAGGCTGTAGGTGCTGAAGAGTGGCTAGCTGCTGCGTCGACCAGGAGAGGGAGTACGTCTCTGCTTGCTGACCGGCCGGTGCAGTATGCTGTGCCGAAGTTGCTGATGAGGCTGTAGGTGCTGACCAGGAATGCGCGTTGGCTGCATGCTGGTGGTCAGGGCACCCGTTGTAGCCGTGGAAGCTGGCTGACTGTAGGATTCGCTGCTTGAAAGCTCGAGGAAGTGATGACGTCATGGCTATGTCGTAGTTGCACGAAGGCTGCGTTGATGTTCATGCTCGGGGTCACCAGTTTAGAGGTATGAGGAACAGGGTGGAAAGTTCCTCATCCTCCATTGAAAAGGGAGGATCCTCCGACCAGGCGAGGTGTTCGTGCCTGGTGGGCTACTGCCCGACGGTTGTTGTCGGAATATCTGTATGGGTGCTAATTGTGTTGAAAACTCTTATAGCGCGATGTAGACTCTTGCTCGTGATTGGTGCTGTTGTTTATGTAGTGCGCTAGATGTCGCTACAATGTTTAAATAAAAATAAAGATACATTACTTATTACCGAAGTTAGAGACAGTTAACTGTTATTTAGACCGAATGCTTAACAAATCTTGTAGGAACAAAATTGTTACTAAGCAATAAATAAAAGCAGCTAATCTTGAAAATAAATATCTCTAAGCACGGCATTTAGATTC